TAAACTAAATGTAATTCATCTTTTTTTTTCTGACCTGTCTCTGTATTTGTTGCCATTTCAAACGTACTCTGCTAGTAAACATCTGTTATTTTTGCAGACCCACTGTAATGTAAACAGATGTGAGCTTTTATTTAGATTATATATCAGGAAATAAGCAGCTGGGCTTTATTATACAAGCCACTCAATATTATCTTTGAACAGACAATTCTTTATTCTCTGACTATTGGAAAACACAAGTTTCTAAAATTGAGCAGCTGTCAACTTGGCTAATTTTAATTTGAAACATGCATTCTGAACACCCATTGTGCCATCTGACCAGCACCTCATCAGAGAGATGCCCACCTCTTTGACTCTTGAAACCTGACAGTTTAGAAAGCGGAAATGATGCACCTGGGGCTTGGTTGCTAACACAAAACATGAGTAAGTATCATTCAGTGGCTTTTAAATTCCTTTACTCTTTCTCTGCACATGGTGATATGCTCCCCTGAGATCTCTATCTTATCCTTTGGCTGCAGGAGATCATCACCTTCCCTATCCTAACAGGCTGCCAAAAACACATTAGTTCTCTTCCCTAGATCAGGTGGAATAATAGGGAGAGAAGCAGAATGGGAGTAGGAAGCAAGATAAAACTGTACCAGGTAAACCACTTGTCAAGCAGTTTAAATATGTGTTATTTTTAGAAGGATCTTATTTTTGGTAAACAGAAAAGCAGTATCATTTTATTTTTCTGATAAATAATAATCACTAACTCTGCAATTAAATTGTAACTACTGACCATGTAAGTATATGGAAGCTACAGTACCATGTAATCACAGGGTAACTATCTTGTTATTTCTGTCTTTGAAGCTAAAGCCTTGTCATAAGATCTAAGGACTGCATGTTACATAGTAATTTGGTTTTTTTGTTAAACACTTGGTTGCTTCGATCACAGATTCTTAATACATTCACTTATCATTTATGCTGCACAACTATTCTAGTTCCCAATTTGCATACGAGAAAACAAAATACCCTTCTATTGAACATATACAGAGATGATACCTGTTCTTCACTGAAAACATCATGCTAAACTGCTCATTAGTAGCTTGACATATTGAAATAGTTTGAAACATAAGATGGATTCATTTTCAACCTTTCTGTTCCTCCAGGCAAATAAGGATGCTGCCAGGAGAGGGGAAGACCAATACTTTCATTCTTATCTCAGGCTACCAGATGCACCACACCACTTTCTTTCTCAGACTGCTCACTGCGCCCACTACTGTTTGAAGTAAGTCAAGTTTGGAAAGCCTTGGATGATGCTCTCGCAAAAAGAAAAGCTATCTGGGAAGGGCCTCTAAGGGAGAGATGAAATGGCCTTAGAAAAGCTAGAAGGTGCTTTAAACGAGCTTCTTATTAGCTTCTCCTCTGTGTCGTAGCAACATTTATTATGATAACCCAGGCATAAATAGAGCCACAGGGATCTTCAGCACCAGGGAGGAGACAGGAACAACTATCGCATAAAACCCCAGTTTGGTAATAAAAACTCTATCATGGTTCAAACAATCAAGAGATACAGAAATCGTAGACTTTAATCCTGAAGAAAGGTGAAATGGAAAAGTTAATGAAGTTAGGAGAGGCTGCTGAATTTTTTAAACTCAGTTATCATTCATTAAGATATTATATATGGTTCACCTGTTCATAGAATCAGTTCTGAATAATTTCAGATGTGGTCTGTAAGCAACACTATAGAATTCAGAGACAGGCACCCATGAAGCTTGATGGTGAATCATTTCAATTTAGCCACGTGTCAGGTGTATGGGTCATCATTAGGGTTTAATTTCACAGAAATTTGTAATTTCAAAACATGGGCTATTTTTAATAAAAGGCACTGAAAAACTGGTTCTCTCTATGCTGAAGAATAAAATTAGACCCATGTCTGTCACCATACATTAAAGTAAAAATGGATCAGAGATCTAAATATTAAAACAGAAACACTAAATCTACTGGCAGAGAAAGCAGATAGACATTTTGAAGATATAGGTGTAGGCAGAGACTCTGTGAATAAAACCCAAACTACATGGGAAATGCTTCAAAGAATCTACAACTGGAATCTCATCTTATTAAAACTTTATAGAATTGGTCATTCAAGAAATGCAAATTAAAACAATACTGAGATCCCATCTCACCCTAGAAAGAAGGGCTACCATCACGAAATCAAATAATAACCAATGCTGGAGGGGCTATGGGGAAAAAAGGAACCCTTAACTGTTGCTGGGAGTATAGACTGGTGCAACC